ATTTTCTAAGAATTAGGAGGAGAATCTTCTTTTCCAACTCAAGGCTGTCCAGAAGAGCAGAAAAATATCTCTCCAGTGTCACTTAATATTCAACTGACTGCATTCAGTTATCATAAATTCAAGGCAAAATTAAAAGATAGTAATTGAACAAGTAATGATAAACTACTACCGGGTAACAATCCTAGATTGCACTAATTAACAATCCTAGATTGCACAATGATAGCATGATTACTCTTTTTTATTCAACTATGAAACAATACAACTTTATCCAATAAAAGTTCATCTCTCTCTTCCCACCCATAATCAAATAGGATAAATATCCTCATAGCCTTTCATTTTACCTCAAGAAATATCTCCAGGCTTTCTTTCCTTCTGAGGGAAATATCTCCTTTAAAGTTTCATCACCTTAATGGTATATGGGAGAAACTACTTCCCCAATCCTCCAAACTGGTCCTACAGCTCAAACATTGTGGCATCTGTTTCCTTACAAGGGGCATCTGGTTGCAGGCTAGTTGCTTTGCACAAGCAGAAGCAGCATTTCTGTCTTTTACTTTCCCAATTATTTATAGCCCCAGAGTCTTCTACTATCCTTGGTTTGGGGCCATTTTTGTGAGAGACAGAAAAAGTCTAACTGGAGACTCCTTCAGATGTTGGAGTTCTTAGCCTGCCAATCCAGGGAAGTAGCATAAGCCTCTGAGGATTGGGTAAAGGAATGAAGTGTAATCTTCACATCTGGTCTGTGGATTGCATCAGAGCCCAAGTAATATTTTGCATGAAAGTGCCACCTGGATAGGTCAGGGTGCAGTGTGTCAAACAGGGACTTGGGTTTTAGCTATGTTCTCTCAACCCAACCTCCCTCATTGTGGTGTTGTGAGAAAAATAGGAGGAGGCAGCAATATGTGTATACTGCCCTGTGCTCCAGAATGTAAAATATAACATTAGTCAAACAAGCCAATCAATATACAGACACACAGTCTGAGACACAGGAAGTACTCTAGGAGGAGAATGGGTTGGGATGTTATGGCCATTCTCAGCCTGTTCTAACTCCCATCTCTTCTTGTAACACCAGAGCTTGATGAACCAGACCACAGACTCTGCACTTCCCATGCTGAGCAGCACTGCCATCCAGGAGTCTCTCTCTACCATCTCCTGTGCTGCAGGATGGACACAGCTTCTGAAGTGGCAGGGCATCAAGAAGGCAGTACCAGGCTTGGCCAGGGGAGAGGTTGGGACTGCCTGAAGGAAGGGGGTAGGGAGAAGTGGACAAGGTGGAAGCAGAGGGCCAATAAGTCTGGCAGCCTTCCCATGAGGGTCACTCTGCTGGACAGGGAGTGGCAGAGACAGTATGCACACAAGCTGGCAAAGGCAAGGAGAAAGAAAAGAAAAGAAAGGAAATGAGGAAAAGACCAAAGGAAATAAAGACTATTTTGCTCAGCAAGGAGAGGAGTAGGAACCCCACCCTCAAAAAGCAGGTTAGGACAGTTTTGAATAGAATGGAATTTATAAATTATGTCATCTGAGCTATGATCTTGAAAAACTATTGCCTACTAGATCGGTAATCAAACTAAATGTTGGTCTTCTTGTTAATAAAAAATGCTGACAGCTAAACTGTAAAACTAAAATGCATGTGTTTAACAAGGAGGTCTGAATCACAGCAAAGCCTTTTTACTTAATACATTTTAAGTAAAAACCTACTTACAACCTACCATCCTAATCTTCCTTCTCCTCTTTCTTTGACCCATTAACCACAAACGATTTCAGTGCGTAGCCCTCGTTTGATTGACTTGAGGGAAGCAGAGTTGAAGAATATATTCCTGCTATGAGGCTGTATTTCCTTTGCATGTTGTTTTCCAATAACTTGATTTAATGCTGACTTTTTATTAATTTTGGTCCTTTGATTATTCATTAGGTTTGCAATCCCCACCATGTTTTAAGCAATTGTTGAGTGAGAGGAAATTGCCTTTTATTGACAATTTGGGGGCAACAGATCTTTGGAGTAACAAAATGACTTTGCAAATGCCCATAATCTTAAATGCATACACCTTAGCCCAATTTTCATAAGACTACTGTGCCACAGGAAAATAGAAAATGTATGAAAAAAGTTGTAGAATGGTGCTCTTTCCACAACTTGATTCTCTTGACATCAGTGTCATGTATTCTATCAATCTTAATGCCTCATCTAGTCTCATTTCAAAGGACTGTACATTACAAAATACAATCACAGTATAGACACAATTAATAAAATTGTACAAGTGGAAAATTAAATAGCACAATCAAGAATTAAATTTGAGGAATAAAAGTAATATGAAACAAATGAATACATTCAGTGTTAGTAATTAAAACAATCAAATGCCAATATACTTGGAAAGTATTGGAAAAATAGAAAAAATAACTTCACCAAAAAGAGATCCTTTTAGAAATAGCTTTGCGTAACTGTTCTTTCTTCCTTTCAGCTTAGGCTGAATTTTGATGGCAAAACAATTCTTTGAGCTTTCTAATTGATTTAATACCAGCTACAAGAATGGTACAGAAAAGGAAACAAGCCTTTCTTCCCCAGTAACTAACACGGTGCACACTTTCCTTTGAGGAGAGCTCATGTTTCATCTCCTGTTAGAACATTTTTGTTAGACGGAGACATTCGAAAGAAATGGCACCCACACAATTAACTGTAGTAGCTTTCAAAGCTTATTGTGTTACTTGGCGCACACACAGCCTCATCAATTCCTGAGGGAACTACTAGGAGTTTAAATTTTGCTGATGATGTGAGGCTGGGATGCATGGAGGCTGAATCAGAACTTTCCTCTCTCCCCTTGTGTCTCTCTAACAATAAGCATTTCCATTTATAGAACCTTGGTAGATAGGCTGATGTCACTGCTTATTCACTTGGTAAACATAGCCCCTGTATGTTTATGCGTGTGTGTGCGTGTGCATACGCACGTGAGTGTGTACATTGCTTCCTAGAAAGAGAGCAAAATTGCTACTGGATCACTACTGCTGCTGCATCCCATCTAGTGTTGTTAAACCTGGAGCATTGGTAATTTGGACAAAGAGAAGAAAGACTGGGGATCTCCCTTGCAGAAAGGGAATCCATGGTATGACTATTGTGTTCCATCACATTGCAATGAATGTACTAAATTTACAAGTGATGATGCACCATTCCAAGAAGGAAACTTTGGATAATACAGCATGCCAAATGCATCAGCTGTAGGGTAAATGCAGCTAGTGAATGTGGCCAAAATAAATCAATCATTGCCTTGCTATTTAGTGGATAATCTATTTAATTGTGTGTGTTTATTCTATTAAATTTATATATTGCCAAATTCAAAAGCAGCTTCTGGCGATTTACATAATAAAAATATAAAACATTACCAACATCTGAGAAAAATGGATACAGAGACAGAATACAAGGAAGCATAGCTTTATTCCCCCAGGCCCTTCAGAAAGCAAACAGACTAATTAAGAGAGAGGCTAATACTAGGGTCACAACACTCTGCCTCTTTGCTTACCCTCCCCTTTCATCTCAAGGGGAGATAATCAAAAGATGGACCCTGAAAGTCATGTGGGCTACTATTGTGTGAAGTGAAAAGTCGAGCAAGTATCTAAAAGCCTTGCCACATTGGACTTTCAAAGTTAAAAACCAGTATTTTGAATTTTAGCTGAAAATGTATTGGTAACCAAAGCAGTAACCGGCACTACTGGCTTGCCCATATATAAGCAAAAGTAATTATAAGTTTATAAAAAAAAGTTCCAGAATTATCCATTATTTAACAAAGGACTGAGTAAAGGGTGATTTAAATTACCACTGCTTGCAACCAGAACAAAAAATCTTTTTTTAATTCACTTTTTAACCATTGTCCATCATGGAACCCAGACGGTATGCAGTTTCTCCAAAATATTGTTCTCCTATCAGTTCTACAGAGAATGGATTTCATGAAATTGTTTTACTGGTCCCAAGTTCTAATCAGAAAATGTGTACACTAATATCACACATTTGGATTATTTTCCTGGTGTCCCTCAAAGATGGTCATATTCAGATTTGCATAAGCCTGTATTTTCCTTTCTCTGAAAAATCAAGTAGTTTTTGACTGAAATTAAAGATACTCAAGTGATCTAAGGAAACATTTTTCTCTTCCCCTGTGTTTGAAATTCTGGAGAGACAACAGCAAGAGTTAGAAATCAAGTCTGATTTTTTTTTTCAGCACTGATTTTTGACAACTCCTGCCAGTGAGAGCTGGAAAGTCCAGAAAAGAGGAGGAGCATAGGGTCATAATATCCAAAAGGTCTGGTTGCCCATCCTTGTTCTATGCAATCTAGTCAACTGGCTTATTCACTAAATTAAACATGATACAGGAAAATGTATGAACTTGGTTAAAGCTTCTGTAAGGTTATGTTTTTGTCTGCCATATGATTTCTCAGAGACTCCTGATTTCCACAGCAATAGTTATACTAGAATGCTGCAGCAAAAATTAAGTCTCATAACAACTTTACAACTAAATTAATTATAACGCTTAATTCTCAATAGAAACACAAATCCATAGCTACATTAAAGTAATGCATGAAGGAAGGAGGGGTGAAATAAAACAAAATATAATAGTAGAAGCAGCAGCAGCACTTCTGCCCTGGAATGAGCTTTCCTCTCATTTTCACAACCTGGATGCCTGGCAGACCACGTTAGGTATATGTTAAGAAGGAATTTAGTAAAGTACAGTGGGATGCGGCCTTTAAGTTCCATCTACCCATATATGGTATAAACACACTTCCATTAATATATCCCACAGCTCAGGCTGAAATTTAATATCCACAAAGTACAATTCACAGATGCTCACATAAGATCAAAACGGGGGAGTTTAATAAATTAATATTATTTATTTATATTATTATTTAAATTAACACTCATTGATTCCAGTTAATATACAGAGGGTAGAAAATTACAAACATTGCATTGCGAGAATTTAAGTATTCAAACTTGCTGGAAAAAAATCAGCCATTTTTCACTGCTATATATGAGGCATAACCCATCTGAATAGAATAATAAATGTTGCCAGCTGTAGAGATCTAAAAAAGGAGAGGGCTTTTTAAAGTTTTTAGGATGGTCTTCCTTACTTGATAGCTTCCCAACATGTTGAGACTACAGCTCCCACAATTACAACAGTGGGGGTAGAGAAGGAGGTGGGTGTTTTTCATACTGTTGGGAACTCTGAGAATTGCAATCTAATACAACTGGAAGGCAACAAAATAAGGCAGCCTATTTGAGGTTGATAAGGTGACTGTTTGGCAATGTTGTTTTAAGGCACATATCTAGGAACAAAGCTCTTCGGCTTCTGTTTAAAAATCACAGCTCATTCCCCTGGCACCAAATACTATTAAATATTGTAAATTTAAGAAACAATCTTAAGAGTGCTTGCATTTTGTATACTTGGTATACAATGGATTTAACCCCAGGGCTAAGAAGTTATAATGATCTGGTATCTAAGTAAGGAAGCTTTAAGAATGAAGTCAAAGGCTTTCATCACAAAGAATCAACATACTGTACTCAAGGAGCATGAAGTAATCTAAAATCACAAGGAAAAACTACATTCAATAAAGCCAAATATGTTCTAGGAATGTTAAAAGAGCCTCTATGGCACTAGCGGTTAGAGTGCTGTACTGCAGGCCACTTCTGCTCCCACCAGGCTCAAGGTTGACTCAGCCTTCCATCCTTCTGAGGTGGGTAAAATGAGGGCCTAGTTTGTTGGGGGCAATATGCTGACTCTGTAAACTGCTTGGAGAGGGCTGTAAAGCACTGTGAAGTGGTATGTAAGTTTAAGTGCTATTGCTATTATGCAATCAGAATTAAATGCTTCTAGAGCTCTGTAATCAAGCCTCTCTCTGGAATGGCTTCATACTCAAGCCAATCAAGTCTCTCATTGATTATGTTCATGCTATATATTAAGTCAAAGTATTTCTCATGTACTACTTTAAAACCACTGTGTTAAGCAAGCAACTCATGGTGTCTGAATCTAGGACTTTTCCTTGTTATTTGGTTAAAGTACTATCCGCTCATCCTTGAGCTGGCAAAAATGATGTAACCATAAAGTTTTCTGTTGATCCATATAGATGTTTCTATAGCAGAGCTGTCAAACTCCCGGCCCACGGGCCAGATGCATCACGCACTGGCCATGCTCACACAGATTTAAGTGAAGGGGGGGAAAAATCCCAATATGTCACGTGATGCTGCCATGATGGTGTGAGTTTGGCACCCCTGCTCTATAGCATTGTCACCATTGTGATGGTGTTTTGATTCAAGGGGTGCAGAATGTTAAGCAAAGTCATTGATTAAACCTCTGGCCTTCCTGCCCACCCCTTTTCTGAATAACAGCTGGTGGAAAACAATCCACCAATCACAGCACAGCTGGTTTTCACAGATGGCCACCTCCTATTTTATTAATGCATTTTAAATAAAGAAAAAGGTAGGAAGGCTTAAATGGAACCCATTAGTCACAGTCACAGCTAATGGAACCATATACCTTTTCTTTAAATGCCATTGCTATTAAGGCTAACTTTAGATTTAGTCTTTCTTGAAAATTAGCAATAGCTAGCCATGCAACATATGGGCATATTCCTTGTACATCCGTGTGGTGTGATATTCCATATTAGCATATGAGACATTAGTAAGTTTGTGGAATTTTCTACAGTGCGGTTCTTCTTCTAGGTTTGTGTTGATGCTACGTTTCAACTAGTCCTCTGACCCTGGCATCTGTTGGAATTCACAGATTTCAAAATTCTTAAATAAATTCTATTATTAAGATTTGCCATTTCTTACCAGTATACTTTTGTCAACTCTAATACAAAATCAACATCAATATCCTGCCTGTGTACTAGTGGCTGTGTTTGCATGTATCAGGATGAAAAACAACTATAACAGAAGAAGAAAAGCATAGAGGGGAAAACAAGAAGCTTCTGTCAATGACTTTGGGGGAAAGGGAATCTTGCACCAGCTATTTATTTAGACCAGAGGTCTTCAAACTTGACAGCTTTAAGAATTCCTGAGCTAACATGACTGGAGTAGGAATTCTGGGAGTTGAAGTCCACAAGTCTTAAACTTGCCAAGTTTGAAGACCCTTGATTTAGACTCTTGAGAACAAAGAAAAATTAAACAAGTTCAGCCTAGTGTGGTAGTGGCTATACCTTTCAACACGGCTGCATTCACTGAGGCATACATTTGGGAATAAAGAAACTTTCACTGTAAACTGTTGTTGGGAAGATGTGATTGTCATATACAAGATTGGCAGCCACAAGAAATAATGACATCAGAGTGAAAGATAGCCATAGCAGATGGGGATTTGGGGAGGTGTATTCCTGACACATTTAGAGGCACCAGGTAACACTTCAGTTTTGATTTATCCAAACTGCTGAGCAAAGGCAGGTGTGCCTTGAAGTTAGCCTTATTAAAATTATTGTTTCTGGTCTTTAGAAATTTAACTGCTATTGTATAAGCAAGTTCTTCAATGGAATGCCAAGTTTCAATTGATTAAGTAAAACAAGAGTGCTATTTACAGTATTGCTGTCCTTCTAGCCAAGGTTCTGAAATCCAGCCACTGGGTCCTGGGAAATCCCACTGTTCATAACTGGGCACCATTTCTTCCCTCACCCTTCCACTATTTTCCATCCACTTTACTGTTAAACATGGCCCAAAAGCCCCTAGCAGAAGCCAGTCTTTTCTTCCTAGGAGGAAACAGTACCTGATCATCATCATCATAGACAGATTGATAGTTGAAAGAGGTTAAATTCCTGAAAGTATTAGAAACATCACCTGTTTAACTACACAAAGCTACACAACGTCTCATTCAAAAGTTCTGTGGACTGTCAGCAGAGTCCCCCAAACAGTATCTCTCAAGCATTCCCATCTGTGCCAAAGGGATCTTTAGCCTAGGTATATCTCCATTTTAAAATTGCCTATCTTCAGCCCTGTGGAATGTTTCTACAGCCCCGTCTCTAGAAGATGGCAAATTGCTGAATCTAGTCAATCTGGCCAGAACCTTTCTTTGACTGAATGGAAAACTATATGCTCCCTTTTTAATGAATCTGGATTCTTTCCCCAAGGACATAGTCAGGAACATTTTCTAGGGCTACTGGCTTCTGAGGGGATTAGAAGAGGAAATTCATTTTTTTCCAGCAGAACTTGGGTTTTCCAGGTCAAGTACCACTATTTTTCTTTCTTCATGCTGCCTTGTAGGTCTTAGACCAGCATAAGGCTCGGTAGAAGCCACGGACAATGCGGTACATCCAGATCAAATTGAGCACTTCCAAGGCAATGCTTGGCCCAATCCAGGCCAGTTGTACACCCAGGCCCAAACGTTCATATTCAGGAGTTCCATACCAAGAGTATACTTGCATATAATAGCTGGGGATGACAGCAATGCGCACCATAAAGAACACTACCATCATGGCCAAGCCATTGGCCAAAACAAGCCTTGAAGTACGTGACCAGCCAGTTGCATCCAGGAACCACCTGAGGCAACACAAAATTTAAAAAAAAATAGCACATGGATGTTAGCATAAAAATCACTCTCAGAATTACAACAGGTGACTAAAATAGTTAGATATGAGCATGCAGCAGGTGTTGAGCTCAGCCCTCTGGCTTTAAGGGGTATGGGTATCCTTCCCATGAACATAGATATATGAGGGCCCCTTTATTAAAAAAAAATACTGCATGTTCTCGGGGAAGCTATTGAATTCACCCATTTTGTTTCTGATATCACCAAACTCACCGCAAATTCACAAAAGGTGTGGAGAGTTCTGAAAGGAGACGGAAGTTGGCAAAATAGGGAAGCACCCCACGACTCTATGGAAAAGGAAAGAAATATCTCAGATTTTGATTTTACCATCCCATGGCCATTCTTGCCTTTTTCACTGAATCTTTAAAGTTTTAAGTAGAGATCTCAACTCTCCTCTTCTCCCAGAAAGAAGGAAAAGCAAAATATATTTGACAGTAACAGAACAGATGACTAATATAAGCAGACATGCTGCTACCACTAAAATGATCCTTCTTTCTTCAGAGATCAACTTCAATATTTACATTTAATGTCACAAAATATATTCAGAAACGTTTAAGTTGCAGACATAACATTGATCCTTTTACCATGAAATAATGGGTACTCCAATTTAAAAACAGTCAATAAATCTATTTGGAAAGTAAAGTGAACCTCTTACAATTTTATTCCAATTTATTTCTTATGTTAACTGTTTCAAAAACTAATTTAGTTTATCAAATTTTTGGTGGTCTGTTCAGTGATAGTTTATTCAACCTAAGCATTTGCTGGAGCTGTTTGGCCCTGAGGCCTTTGTTCTTCTTAAAGTTCCATGGCTGTTATGGGTTTCATAGGAAACAATTTCTCCCCTCCTCTCCTCTCCCACTTCAACTTCCCTTTCAATAAAAAGAATATTTGAACAATTGGGTTGTTTTTTAATTTTATATAGGAAATATATTTTAAATTTTATTTTTTCCTTATTAAATGTAAATTTCAATATTACATGATTTTGTCATATATATGCTATTTTTCTTTATTTTAATATCTATCTATAACTGTCAGCTCTCTCTTTCTCACATAACTTTGTGCTTATTGGACATTCATATCCAAATCTATGTGACTCGTAGGAACCTGCAGCATTCACATAGAGCATAGACATTTTCTTCCCTCTTCATTGATATGCAGTGATTTTTTTCATTCATATTTCAAGATGAAAAAGGAACTTTGAGGAGAAACTGCATAGAATTAGAATTAGAAGAACTTTATTGTCATTGTACAAGTACAATGAAACTGTGGATGCACCCCAGCAACTGTTCGCAATACAAGAAAACCAAAGCACTTAAAAATGAAGATAAGAAAAATAGAGTACCCACGTCTCCATTTGCAATTTGAGAGTACAATATCTACGAATATACACAAAATATACATCCAGCACTGACTGTAACACTTAGCCGAGTATAATACACAAGAGATGGATTGTACTGTAATATGTTATTATACATCTGAATGGGGTATTGAGATTTCACATCTTTTCACATCTTAATGAGGTAGTAACTTCATGTTTATTTGCGGTTCGGATGGCCCAGGGAAGGAAACTATTTGTTAGTCTAGTGGTGTGGGATTTTATTGACCTAAAATGCCTGGTGTTAGGGGACCAGGAGATATCAGCTGAAATATGGATGCCAAGGAATCTGATTGTAGGGAGAGTTTCCACTCGTTCTCCGTTGATGATGAGTGGGGCGTGGTCCTAACAATGGGTTCTCTGCCACTTCGTTGAAGTGTTTCATTTTCTGAAGTAGCTTTGGCTACATGTATCTACATATGTTTGTCCTCAAATAACCAGAGAGAACTAGAGATCGGGAAGGCGCTTTTTCAGCCTGAAGCAGTTTGAATTGTATGATAGATTCACAAAGCCAACTGTGATCTTTCTGTTCTTACATGGAATCAAAGATGATTTCAAGAATTTTTTTAAATAATTTCTGTTATATTGCTTAACATTTGGGTACAACACAGTTGATCCAAAACTATTTGATAGATATAGAGGTAATATGCCAAAGTTCTTTTTGGGTAGAAAATTCAAACTTCTAACACCAAAGAGAACATTTTCATTTCTAACACTACAGAGAACATTTTTCCTTGGGGTTCCACAAGTATGATAACTTCTGGTTTTTAGCATAGCCTGGGGATATAATTATTAAATCCTGAGTTTTTCTTTACTTGGCTTTATTCCAGTTCTTTATAAGCTTACTCTGAAGGATGCTTGATTTTTAAAATTGCCATAGGGAGTTTTAAATGCTGGATTCATTCAATCATCTTTTAGTCCTAATTTATTATAACAAATCAAATCTTTATTATGGTCCTAGACTACCATAAATCTTTACCATCAGCTAATCTTTATTTTTGTGACTCATTTGGGAAAGTTATGCCCTAAAATAAATCTTATCCTAGGATGGGCTTTATTCTTTTTTGAAAAAATTGTGTATAATATCTAGCTCTCTAGTATGCTTTTTATTCCTAAGGCAGGGAATGCCTTCCAGACCACAAAATGGATCAGTAGAGCAGAATTCTGGAAGAATATGTTTGCTCTTTGCATCTTAGAATGAACAAGTGTTGTTTTAAGGGAAGTCAGACATCTCACATTTCTGTTGGAGAATCTACAACATGAACATGACCTTAAAAGGACCACCTCAAGACTTCTAACACCTTCTGCTCTAAAGAGTCCAACCCCCGCTGTACAGTTAGTCCTCGACTTACAACAGTTCATTTAGTGACCGTTCGAAGTTACAAAAGCACTGAAAAAAGTAACTTATCACCATTTTTCACATTTACAATGGTTGCGGGATTCCCATGGCCTCGTGATAAGAATTCATAGGCTTGGCAACAGACTCATATTTATGATGGTTGCAGAGTCCCAGGTCATTGAGACCTTCTGACAAGCGGTGAGTGGGGAAGCCAGATTCACTTAACAGCCATGTTACTAATTTAACAACTGCAGTTTCATTTAACAACTGTGGCAAGAAAGGTTGTAAAATGGGGCAAAACACACTTACCAAGTGTCTCCCTTAGCAACAGAAATTTTGGGCCCGATTGTAGTTGAAGACTATCTGTATTGTATGTGTCTCCTGAACGAGGACAACAAAAGCCAGGTGACCACTAGATGGTAGCAAAAAGTTAGGGTTTGCCATCATCTGTTCTTTACATTTCATTTCTACTGCACAACAAACCCAGGTCTCTTCATTCTTAGGATTTCTCTGCATCTGGCCTCCCTTCTGCAGGTCTGGGATTTGTACAATTAAAGCAACATACAGAATATAACTGTCTCATCCTTCAGGTGATTGGTAGGGAGCAGATGGCAAATACCAGAAAATGTTTCCTCATAGAGGTTGGATTGGAGGTGCTGAGGTGGTGGATATTGCAGAATGCATTGAAGTAGGTTGAAGAAGCATAGACTTTTTTTTTTAAGGATGAAGAGCAAAGTCCTCTCTGCCCCGCCCCACCCACCAGAAAAATTAAAGGCCTCTGGAACTAACCAATACGTATCCATAAGCATATAGTGCCACCAAGTGGTGGCAAACGAAAAGAGAATCCCCCAATGTCTTCCAGTAGCGCACTAGCAGCAACAGATCTGGAATTCAGAGCAGAACACATGTTCATAAACAAGCAACTTGTTTTTACTAGAAAATAAACATATAGACAATAATTTCATATTTAAGAAAGTAAATGCAAGAGCAAGGCGATTTCTTTCCCCCCTATGGCTCTGCTTCTTTCAGCTGTGCTACCTGCAGGGATTTAGCAGTTGAGGCTTTTCCAAATGTTGATAGAAAAAAAATTGACTCCTAATTTCTTTCTCTCTTTTTTTTATGCTGCCATTAGCAGCACAGGTGCATAGCAAATACTGGCAGTCTGAACAGTGAGATCATCTACTCATGAATAACTCAATATTCTGCATACAAAATGCCCTTCATTCGTAAACATCTTACATGTCGTCTGTCTGTCCCCCAATCCTTTCTTAAAGAAATCTTAACAGGATCTCAGCAATCCACTGATTCCTCTGAGTAAATAATTTCAATTAATTAAACTTCCCCAAACAAAACATTTGGTCAAACCAGAGGAAGGGGGGGGGGATTTGCTTTAACACAGAGAGTCCCTGTTTGAGGAAGTAGATCTCATCGGCTAATTGAACACATGAGATCAAAACCTCACTGGAATGATCCAGTCAAAACCAATCTCAGAAGATTAAAAACAAAAGAGTCCTTGGAATGCAGCTGGGCAACAGAATAATCCCAGCCATAAGTGAATGAGGGTGGAAAAAGGCTGAAACTCCTGAAAGGAAAATAATTTCTCAGAGCAAATGCTGGGAGAAAGGTCCTTTGCACAAACCATGATCACACTCAGTGTCTTCTCTTAAAGTGGTTAAAAGTTAGCCCTGTAATCTGTGTCGGCCTTCTTCAGCATCAAAAACAGGGAGCACTGAGGAGCAGGGTCAATTCTCATGGCCCTGGCTCCATTTTTAGGGGAATCAAGTTTTCTCTGGAAAAGTAACTGAATTCACCTCAGATTCTTCTCATATATTTTTTAATCCTGTCCAATAGCTAATTTGATAGGCAATTGCAGGTAATATAACTTGCACCAGTACTCACTCATTTTTCTATTTTCTATTTCCTATTCTATTCTACCCCTATATTCACATACTCCACACATTTATTTATTATTTAACAAATTAATGTAGTTGCTCAATTCATTCATAGGTGGCTCCAATGTGATGGATTTTTTTAAATTTTAAGCTAATTACCTATCAATTATCAAACATTTTAAAAATCCACTGCATAACAAAAACTCAACAAACTCCCCTCCCCATGTTGGCAACAACACATTCAAATCAGCCGTTTGATTGGTTTCATCTGCATTTGTGGTTCCCAGGCCTATTGCAATACCATGTTTAGGGCCTTCAGAAAAGCAGCATCTCTAAATACTACAGAGCCTGATACCTTAGCAGAGTCTTTAAGTCTGGCAGGCAAGAGTTGAGTTGAAAACCTGCCCCAGTTTTAATGATAAGGCACAAGTGCCTCAGCCAATATTACAATATTATAACCACTCGTCATTCCAAGAAGTGGGGTGGGAAAGTACCTCAACTCACACAAAAAAGATGTGGAGATAAATGGTTGGTTTTAATGCTACCAATGTGACTGTTTGACAACTAGAGGCATGTGAGCAAATATTGTAGAACTAGGGAATTAATAGTTATTTTTCATCTGGTTTCATGTATTATGTATGTATAGCTGAAAAATGTGACACTAACTTGCACATTGCAAATATCAAATAAAAACTGACCTATTTTTTCATACCTCCTACATGGCCAATTTATTATTTTGTTTATATGATTCTTGTGGTCTCTAAACAGTACATATATTTTTAATTGTAGTAATGGATCAAAAATAAAATAAGAAACGGGATATCAAACCAAGTTCTTCTGAGTTTAATCCAATTGCTCCTCTTTAATGGTCAAAGTCAGCCACTTTCAGAAAAATGTCCAGTGTATATTTCCTATAGTGGGTCACATTACAAGATATCCCCAGTGGCACTGGTTTAAAGGAAGACAAGGGAACGAAAGGCATTACAACATTTGAGCACATCATGGGACAGTTGTAGATTTGTTCATCTTTATTTAGACATCTGGATCCCACTTGAAAACGTGGCTTTCTGTCAAGCTGAAAAGTTGTTCAAAGCAGTTTGGGGCAAAATGATTGAAAGGAAAAGTGCAACAATAACCCAACCTCTCAGTAAGCTGACTTCACAACCTCAACTGGCCTCAGTTATTGCAACCCCTTGCAAAGTTTTCTCCTTTCTAAGGAATCCTCCACCTCACTGCATCATGATCAAAGAAAAGGAGGGAGCTCCTGGCAGTCTTGCTTTAATTTAATTCTTTTGGATATAAACTATTGGAAATATCTTAGTAGTGGAATAATAACTGCTTGTGTATTGTAATGGATCTCATGTAGGAGATATTCCCAGTAGTATTGGCTGAGAGGAAGGCAGGGAAAAGACAAGCATATTAACAAAGATGATCATTATATGTCAGGATTATTATGGCAAGGAAAATCTTCACTGCAAATCTGAATGCTGCCTTGAAAGTCACGCCAGCAGTGAAATGGGCCACATATAAATTTAATGAATAAAATAAAATAATAAAACAAACCCTCTAGCCTACCTTGTGAAACCCAATGGTGTGGTGCTTACCATAGAGCAGATAGCCACAGGTGACAGCAACATTCAGTTTCACCAACCAAGGATCTCCCCTACAAGGATGAATGATTGGAGACAAGGTCAAAAGAAAAAAGATCTGGTATTGAGAGAGGAACCCATTTCTAATTCATTTTCCCCAACCTCCATCAGGCAACATCATGTGGCATTTTGAAAAACATGTCAGTGTTGCTAAACTGATACATATATAATTTATATGTACACTCACATACATGTACATAAACTTACATATATGTATATGCACACACACAATGTACATATACACTCATACAACCTCTACACACATACAAAAGGAGCATGCAAAGGTGCCTGTTGCATTTATCAGATTGACAGAAGCACTGCTGCAGCACTGTACTGGACGCTCTGGTTTTTTTTGTATATGTGTGTGACTTTATGACACACAAAACAAAACTTGCAAGATTTATTTCACAATGATACAATACTGCTTTCATTATTCTGTTTCATTCCCTCCCCAGTATAAGGTAGGAGCATAAAATCCTGATAAAATTAAATAGTGCCCTACTCTATAGAACTATTGTAAATGAGGCAATAATAAATCATCATATAGTTATTGGATTTGGAACTGTAAAAAAAACTATATTGTTTCTACCTTCTCCTAGATTCAACCACCTTTCTTTGATCTCATGTCTAGTAATAATATGGTTCTGAACTACTGATGGTTAGTTCTGTTATTTGAAATACCTTAGAATTCCTGCCTCACTTTTCAAGGTAGAAAATCAATATTTAACTCAAAATGTCCATGAGAAATGGTAATCCACAAGAGATTATAAACAGAGGCCTTAATATGGTTCTATGAAATTCTAATTTAAGGCCAAGATGTTTGTCAGCAAAATGTGATAGATGGAAAGAGTGAAGTTGCTGTAGCAGGAACCATTATTTCCCAGGCTTGAGAAAACTGTTATGTCAATCTTTCAACTTCAGCCACCTTGAAGAGTTGGGAAGACAAAGGAAGATGGCTAGGACTTAAATTCTGAAGCACAAACATATACCTTCTAACTCCTGTGTACTGTGTTAGGCTTCATTTTTAAATAGCTACTCTAGTCAAGTTGTGTCTATGAGTCTTCTGCATCCAAATCTTGAATGAGGAGTTCAGTATCTAGAGTACCTTGACTTTCAGCCAAGCCATGTGCAAAGCCAAACAACAGGGAAAGTGGACAAATGGGATCAAGCAGGAATTGGGGAGAAAGAGCAGAAAGATAAGGTGTGCTATAGATAGAGACAGTAATGGTATCAGTGCCTTCTTAGCGTTTTAGCCTCGGTGGCGCAGTGGTTAGAGTGCAAGCTACTCCTACTGTAATTTGGCAGATCGAATCCCTTCAGGCTCAAGGTTGACTCAGCCTTCCATCCTTCTGAGGTGGGTAAAATGAGGACCCAGATTGTTGGGGGCAATATGCTGACTCTGTAAACTGCTTTGAGAGGGCTGTAAAGCACTATAAAGTGGTATATAAGTCTAAGTGCTATTGCTATTGCTATTGCTATTTAGAATCTCCTATCGGCTCAGCCCATTCGTTGAAATAGCAGGGATAGTTCTATGGAGCACATGTAGAATGGGATTAAAGGAAGGTGTGATTATGGCTTAGGCAGGAATATTTGCACCTTTTTAGGCCCAATGCCAAGGCCAGCTCAGATCCTCTTGCCTGGATTGACCCCGTTTCCACCCCTCACATCCTAAAATCCAAGTATAACAAAGACTTATTCTTTTTCAGCATAAAACAGTCATTGTGCTTTTCAGCACAATGAAAACAATCATGCTCATAGGCACCTCCTCTTCTTCCTCTCTTTCTCTCTCCCTCTCTTTCTCTCTCTTGTCAGGGAGAGCAAGCTGCCAAATCTATACATGTGTGCCCCAGGAGGCATGCATACAAGTCAATTGCTTGTTATTTCTTACCAGATGGGGTTGGCATTTATAGCAGCATCATACCAAAGGATGTAGAGGCAGAAGAGGCCGACTATTACCGCGTGAAGAGTAGACACACATCTAAAGAGGAGAACACATAAGGGTTATTCCATAATTGCAGCACTTAACTGTATAATATCTCTCTTGCAATATACATGCAACTATCCTGTGCAAAGCACACTAGGTGTGGAACGTAACTTCTCAAGTTCCATGGAGATTCTTACAGTGGAAAGGCGAGAGAACTGCAAATCTCACAACCATTCGTCCAGCCACATCCACCAGAGCCTCTCTCTACCTGGAATTCCATTCATTCTGCTTGACTGAAGGAAGGCTGGAGTAGCTGGGGCTCAAGGACAAGGACAGCTGGGGGCTGAGGGCTGAGAAGGAAAACTGGAAGGCTACGAAGCTGCCAGCCACAATGCAGTAACCCAAGCGAGTGAAGTCCTCCATTGAATTCAGTAGCACCTGCAAGTAGACAAAAAGGTCTGTTTGGAGCAGAGAACAGAGTTGCTAGACCCTCTTCCAGTAAAAGGCCTCGGAACTAAAGGATACAGACAAAAAAGGGATCCGTTTGTTAAACAGAGAGAAGAGATTGAAGAATCAAGACAAAACAAGACAGAGAAAATAAATAGTTGTATGATGAAAAACCTCTCCCTAAATCTGGTTTTGTCATATTGGGAAAGGGAAGTGGGTCAAAAAGTGGATCCTGGGGGGAGGGGAAAAAAGAAGCATTGAAAAAGAATGTGGGAGTGTTGGGCCTTAGCCAGAATGTTAAATTCCCCAAGAAGGTGGCAAGCATGATTAAATTCTCTCAGAAGAAGAGAGAAATCAAGATTAAAGAAACACGGGGACAACGGGCAATATGTACAGCATAAAAAATTACAAGAACATCAAATGAATTCCAAAGGGAGATGGTTAGGGGAACTATCAATATATAAAAACCACCATGCAAACCAAAATACAGGCAAAAATGGGCACAGCCATCTTGCAAAGAAGAATCCAATTCTATGTAGGACTAAGAACATGAAAAAAGAAAAGAAAGACCCCTACTAAAATTGATTACTAATAAAAGACATAATTACTAATATTACTAATTGATTACTAATAATAAAGGACAGATAATACTAATAGTAAAGGACTAATAATAAAGGACAGTAGAGGAAAATATTACGATATTACGATTCAGTTCTTGTTCCTTTCCACCCACCAATAGTATCACAATCTATTTCCAATAGTTTTTACCCATTATCAACTGCCATAATATCCATGTTGTAATTATAGCATAGATATATAAATTTGCATTAGGTCATTAGCAGTCAACCTGGATTGCTGACATTATCTTTATCTTACTTCAGAGTAAGAACATGTACTAAGTAATTATTTGCTGTAAGTGAATATACAGCTAATTCTACATTATTCATTTTTTAAACCCCATAATTCATTTTATCTATTTATGTATATGCTTTGTATGGCCACCCATGTCACACAGGTGATCCTGAGTATACAAAGATTAGAAAGTAAATTTATAGCATTCAACCTCAACTCCCAAGGTTAAAAGAAGCAGCCCCACTCAAAACCCAAGGTGTATAATAGTTTGCTGTTGACCATTGGATGATGGTTTTCCTGCTCTTTGCTTGAAAATTCAACAGAAAGAGTCATGATTTTCCTAGGAAGTTTATTCTAAAGTCTGCCTTTCACCTGAACTGAAATCAAGCTTCTTATACATTACTATTGCTCACAAGACATCCTGTTCCCATTCTTTGCTCCGAATCCTTTAAAATATTTTTAAACCTTCAGCTAATCCAGCTCCTTTCATCCTTTTTCCTCTTGCTAAATATGCAAAGTAGTTCCACTCCTTCCTTCCCAGAGGGCTAGCAAATTGGAGGAGTCCTCCAGCCTTTTTTTTTTTTTTATTGCACCCCTTTGCCTCCACCACCTGTGTCTCTCTTCTGGGAACACCAGAGCTGTGACAGGCACACGGGGAAATCATCATCATCATCATCATCCATGTTGTCATCATCATCAGTCTCCTTTTACAGAATGGGCAACAATCACTGGTATTCTGCACTTTAAGGAGCTCAATTGGGATTGGCAATTCCATCACTAAACGACACAATTCCACCATGCTGACTTGGGGGTATTCTGAAGACCACCATCTTAAAGCTGCCAAGGTTGAGAAACATTGACACAGCCTCTAAAACACAATCAGCAAAACACAGAGCGTTTTGTTATCCTAAAATCTCTGGAATACCATCCAGTCATATCATTCTAAGAGAAAGCTTTAATTTTACAATTAGGCTCCAAATCTTGTCGGCACATATACAGCTCCACACATGACTGCTCTGAACCCCCTCCCTCTTGAGGAGCTAAACAGACAGAAGAGGGCTGAATTTAAGCAGTGCCTCCAGCACTATAACTTTTATTTAAATAGGTATAGCTTAATAAACCAAAAAAGGAAGGGTCGGGATCCTCACAATGAGGTCTTTCATTACCTGTATTCTTTTCCACCAAAACACCACCACTCTCTAAACACAATGGCAAGCTTCTTAGAGCTGTCTCTTCATCTAGCCTAAAAGTCCTTTTGAGTTCTTGATTTGAGCCAAAAGATGCCCACAAAAGATTCCTTCACTTTGGGGGATAGTTGAACATCTCATAACATCAAGTATGAGCTGTATGGTGGAAGGAGTTAAGACTGTGAGATCACAAACAGGGCCTAAGAGGGGCTCCTGGACAATCAGAAGTCAGGAACGTGGGTCTAAAGACTCAGGCCTGGCCACCGTCCATTGGGGGCATTATTTTTCATTCAACCTGTAGATATGAAACACTGTAGTTTTAGACCAGCAAAATTAAATATTGATATTTAAGCAGTGCCCTGCTGGTATGTGCACCCAGAAGCTCATCGGTCTCACAGCAGAACTGCCTGCTCCTTTAGTTCAATCTTTAATCCTACCCAATTAGATTTGGCCTGTTGTTACAAAATACTCTTAATGGGTATTCAAAAGATTTACAGATTAACAACAGTTCAATTTATTGAGGCATAAAATATATTCCTATGCATCATTATCATCCTTTACCAAAGCACAGCACAATCAGAAAAACACTATGCCTTGCAAGATGATTAAGCAGTCAACTCTTATTGTTTGGATGAAGGGTTGTTTCCTTTAGTCCATTCAATTGGAACTGCTGCACTTGAAAAAGAAATGTACTTTACATATTGCAATCTGTTTACTGATGACCTGGATCTACCATAGATATATTAGTAACACAAATAAAAAATTGGAATATTAAAAATGATATAACAGTGCCTATCAGAGATTAGTTTTCCACCACATGTGGAAAGGATTTCAACAGGCAGCCACAGAGTTTTCACAGAGTTTAATTGTCTGAGTTACATGCAAATGTCTATTCATATAAAGCATTGCGAACCAGACAAAATGCATTTGCACAATATACTAGATTAAATTTGGTCGGATACATTTTGTGTGTTGTGTGAACACATCAGAAAAGATAGATGCTCCACATTGAAACAATCAATTAACCAGAATAGAACTGGAAGGGAGCTCGGAGGTCTTCTAGTCCATGTCCCTGTTCAAGCAGGAGACCCTGTACCATTTCAGAGAAGTGACTGTCCAGTCTCTTCTTTCAAAGTCCAGTGATGAAGCACCTACAAAGGCCAGCTCTTCTCCCGGTGAATTGTCCTCATGGTTAGGAAGTTTCTGCTTAATTCCATCCATTGCTTCTTGTTCTATCCTCAGATGCTTTGGAGAGAATAGCTTGACTCCCTCTTCTTTGTGGCAACCTTTCAAATACTGGAATACAGCTCTCATGTCCCCCCCCCCCGCCCCTCTTTTCTCTAGACTGGCCAAGTCCAAATCTTGCAACCATTCTTCATGTTTTAGTCTCCAAGCCTTTAATCATCTTAGCTGCTCTTCTTTGCACTTTTTCCAGTCTCAACACCTTGTTTTGTAATGTGGTGACCAAAACTGGATATAGTATTCCAGGTGTGGCCTTACTAAGACTTTATAAAGCAGTACTATTACCTCATGTGACTTTGAGTATATGCCTCTGTTTATACAACCAAGGATTGTATTAGCTGCTGCGCTTATCTTTAAGTGATTGTCCACTAGGACTCCCTCTCACAGGGACTGCTTTTGAGCCAGGTTTTGCCTCATCTGTACTTGTACCTTTTGTTTTTTCAGCCCAGGTGTAAAACCTTGCTTTTCTCCACATTAAACTTTATTTTGTTGGATAGGGCCCATTGTTCAAGTCTGTTAAGGTCTTTTTGGATCCTGAGCTTGTCTTCTGGGGCGTTGGCTATTCCTGCCAGCTTAATGTCATCTGCAAATGTGATGAGTTCCCCTTCTATTCCCTCACCTAAGTCATTTATAAAGATATTGGAAGAGTGTTGGGCCTAGGACAGAACCTTGTGGTACCCACTGCTTGCTTCTCTCCATGTAGATGTAATACCGTTAAGAACTACTTGTTAAGTATGTTTTGTCAGCCAGTTACAAATCCATCTGTACTTGATGGTGATGCTGTCTATCCCACATTTTTCTAGCCTACTAAGAAGTAGGTTGTGGTCTACTTTGTTAAATACCTTGCTGAACACTAAATATGCTATGTCAACAGTATTTTGCTGGTCTACTAATTTAGTCACTTTGTCAAATAATAAAATAACATTGGTTTGGCATGATCTGTTTTTAACAAACCCGTGCTGGCTACTAGCAATAGCAACAGTAGCAATAGCACTTAGACTTATATAGCACTTCACATTGTTTTACAGCTCTAAGCACTTTACAGTATCAGTCTACTGCCCCCAACAATCTGAGTCCTCATTTTATAGACCTCCGAAGAATGGAAGCCCGAGTCAGCCGGTGAGACTCGAACTGCCAAACTGCTAGCAGCTGACAGCCAGCTGAAGTAGCCTGCAGTACTGCATTCTAATTAATACGCCACCATGGCTCAGTCTAGTTATAATTGTTCACAGATCTGTTTTTTGATTATTTTTTACAGCATCTTTTTAACAGTATCTTTTTTTATTTCTTTCAGTAAACAATAGACTTAGCCTTGGAAAAGTCCATCTTGCAGTTTACGTATGGCCTAGGATGACTCTGAGAAGTCAGCTACAGTAGATAAATAGCCATTAGCCAGCCTGATTTCTTTAGTGTCCATCTGGATATGCTAGCACTCTGCATTCCGGATTCATATATGACAACATGTAAAAAAAATTATGTTATTTCGCGACTAAACATATTATACGAACTCATATCATGACTTCCTGTGCTGTGTGACAGTGATCTGTAAACTTAACAGATTCCCGAAGAGATGATTCCCCATACAAAGCCACTACCCCAGAGCTGTACAGCTGTACAAGAGACTTTCAGTTTGGATTGAAACTGACTTACCCAGCTGCACAATGTGGAAGCAGAGACTTTTATACAGCTGCTTTCAGTTGAAAGAAATTTTGGACTGAAGGGACGGACAGACAGACAGAGCAATAGGACAGCCCCCTTTCTTATTTTTCTGCCCTATGTACCAAGGGCAACTGTTTCTATCTCTTGCCTCCTTCCAGAAATATCTATAGGAAATGGCCACCTTCTGCTCAGCCACCCACAAACCTATACAGTCCTGACATGTGCGCCTCTTTTCAACATCAGATCTTTTCAAACAGTAGCCTATTGATATGGAACTCTCTCCCCCTCCTCCCTTAAAGGGTCTTTACTCATGGTTTGTTACATCTAGCAATTTTAATTTTAATATTGTAGTTATATTTCAAAAATGTGTTGGTTTTGTTGCATAAACCATTTTCGGTGGTTTCAAACGCCAAATTTCAGTTGTAGGATATAAATTTTTAACATCAAATGCAGCAGGTGTGCTTCATAGAGGAGCTGCCTCAACATGTTCAGGCTGCAGAGACTCTCTTACATTATAGTAACAATCCAATTCAGGACTAAATGAGCTTTTTTCAGTAGGGAAGCAGAACCATTCACTTTAAACTGTTCCTTGCTGAAGAGGGAGGGAGAGAGAGAAAGAGAGATCTAAAATATATTCCTTTTCCCTATCTGTAGAATATATAGTTCATTTCTCTTTGCTAAAGAATGCCCTTGGTTAAACATGTTGATGCTCTGAAGTTTTCTTCATCGCTGCAATTTCTTCACCCAAATTCTCTGGACTTGGTGTGGTCAAATATTTAGTGTGACATTTCCCAAGAATACTTTGGGGAGGAAGGGGGAGGGGGCTTTCCCATTTCTCGACCCTGATGTGTACAGGCTCACAAACACCCGCGAACAGAACCCCCTGTCTGGGGTTCTTCTGATGCAATGCTCCCACACGAAGTGTTAACTTACATCCGTGTATCACGGCCAAACGACCTTCTCCACTTTGAGCCGGAGTGATTGTTTTCAGTTCCTTCCCCGCAAAAATTATGGCGAAGGAAGGTGCGAGCGCGCCAGGCTTAGTCCCCAAAACGAGGAACTCCGTGCGCCTCTTCCGTTCAGGATCGCGACCTCCCGAAGCATTACTGTACAATCCATACCTACCTCACACGGCTTCTTTCCTCGCAAAACCAACGCTCCTCCAGCCTTTCGCCAGCAGCAAGCCAGCTGGCAATCGGGTCGACTTGACCTGCCCTTTGCTCAAAACGATTCCCCCCATGGCGAACAGCTTGAAGCTCGTCCTGCCGCGCCTCCCCCCGCGCGGGGATACTCACCTCCCTCCGGCTGCCTGGTGCCTCTCTTTCGCCCGGGGGGGGAGACAAGTACTCCCGCGACGCTGAGCCCGTCCAGGCGAGGCTTCAGTCGAATAGCCATCCCCCTCCCCCGACGGACCAGCGCCCCCCTCCGCTTCGGCCAATCGACCGCTGCCTCACAGCCCTGGTCCCGCCCTGTAGACTGGGAGAGGGGAAACAGAGAAGCCAAAATCTGGGTGGGGCGAAGGAGTTGCCCCCTCCCCCGCGAGTGCGCTGCCACGGAAAGCGATAGGAAAGCCCCATTCCACGAGGCACCGAGTGCGTTCAGCTCCCTTTGGTTCTCTCCGCTCTCCTTTTCCTCAGGAAATACCCCGCCTCCCGCCCACCTCAGCCCCTGCAGACTGCGACAGTCATAAATCACACCATCAAGGTAACGCGTTTCCCTTCCCTCTGGTGTCCCAGGTCAGCGAGCAGCCCTAAATAGAGACAAATTTAGGCTCGCGCAAACACCCTTTGCCCATGTGACCCTGGCTTGCCATCGAACGCAGCCAGCATGTTAACAGAGACTGTCCCGAGGAGGAAGGTCGCCCTCTGCCGCCGCCAACATACTTGGAAATTAAATTCAGCACCACTACCCTGTCTGCCGATGACACGTGTCACCTTTCCTAGCAGGTAGGTATCTCCCCTTTCACACCTGACTCCACACGGGAAGTAGTGGGTTTAAATAAATCGATTCTGCAAGGTTCATGGGGCTTGCTAAACCACATATCATGTTGATTGAGATTTACACAAGGCGCTCAGCCACAAACAAGCAAATTACAATTTGGCTGTGTGTGTGTGAACCCACACTAACCCATGCAGTGATATGTTCTTTTTATTTATTAGATCTGACTCAAGGATTCATTTCATTGCAGGATATGTACAGTCTGCCCTCATTTTATCCTTTTAACAAATTTGTGTGGTCGATTGAGCCAAGAAAAGAAAATGACGCAAATCACCAAATGAATTCTACATTTGAGAACCTTATTTCTGTCCAATATTCAAAGAATATTCAAGGCACATATTACCTAAGCTATCTTGAAATGTTTGGGTTTCGCTCATTGATTTGAGTGATGTCCCAGGTTAAACAAATATCAAATCACTGACGAACCTGTGCATTGTGCTAAACTATGCTATGTTTACTTAAGCTTAGTTGAATAAGCTACAACTGATTAGATTCACCCATTACGTACAGATACAAAGTGTGGATACAAACTGTAATTACTGGACAAACATCCTAAAAATAAACATGTTACAGCACAGGGTTAAATTATATTTATATCCGTGGTGGGATTCAAAAAAATTTACTACCTGTTCAAAAAAATTTACTACCTGTTCTGTGGGTGTGGTTTGGTGGGCATGACTTGGTGGGCATGGCAGGGGAAGGACACTGCAAAATCTCCTTTCCCTCCCCACCCCACTAACCTGCTTTCCAGCTCCGTTCTCCTGTGCAGGACAACAAAAGAAGACCCAGCCAATCAGCTGGGACTCAGGAGGCAGAGAATAGATGGGGGCGGGGCCAGTCAGAGGTGGCATTTGTCGATTCTCTGAACTACTCAAAATTTCCGCTACCAGTTCTCCAGAATTGGTCAGAACTTGCTGGATATCAACTCTGATACATATGACATATTGTGCCAGCCGGCCTAGGAGGAGATTAGTGTGTATGAGTTTGTGTGTGTTTGTGTATGTGTGTGTATAATGCCATCTTACTCTTCTTCCATGAAGCTTGATAATAAAGTACTGTAAGTAGAGAGGCTTAACTGAAATGTGTTGTACCATTTATTTAATTAATTTTTACTTACTTATTTATTTATTTAATGTCCCTCAGGGATGGGAACCGCAACATTCCCTGCCTCCCTGCTCTGATGGGTCGGGTAGATGTGATCGGCAAGAGATGTTCCTTCAGATAACATGGTCCCAAGCCATAAAGGGCTTTAAAGCACCTTGTATTGCTTTGTGTGGGATCAGGGGTGGGTTTCTACCAGTTCTGTTCACCTCTGTAGAACTGGTAGCTCTGAAGAGCAGCAGACATAGAACCGGTTCTGTGTTTGCTGCAGTTTGGCTCAAACGCCCACCTGGGCTCTTACCTGTCCTTTATTCCCTGCTTTTTCAACCTCAGCTGCTTTTCAGCTGAGGTTGAAAAAGCAGGAAAAAACAGGCTTTTCAAACTCTGCGCACCCGCACGCAGCACTTTTCAGCTGACTGGGTGGTACAGGTTAAGGTTTTTTACACATGCATGCATGCGCAAAATGTAATCACCGAACCAGTAGTAACACCAGTTGAATCCTACCCCTGACCTGGAAGCAAATCAGCAACCAATGCAACTCCTGCAGAAGGGGTGAAACGTGCACACCAGGGTCTGCACCAGTAGTGGGATTCAATTTTTTTTTACTACCGGTTCTGTGGGCGTGGCTTGGTGGGCATGGCAGGGGAAGGATATTGTAAAATCTCCAGTCAGAAGTGGTGTTTGCTAGTTCTCCGAACTACTCAAAATTTCTGCTACCAGTTCTCCAGAACTGGTCAGAACCTGCTGAATACGATCTCTGGTCTGCACAAAACCATGCAGGCCGCTGCATTTTGCACCAACTGGAGCTTCTGGATGCTCTTCAAGGGCAGCTCCATGTAGAGTGTGTTGCAATAATCAAGATGGGAAGTGACTAGGGCATGAGTGACTGTGAGTAGGGATCATTGGTCCAGGAAAGGGCACAACCCGCAGTTGTTCAAAAGCCCACCTGGCCACGACTGCCACCTGCTCTTCGAACAGGAGTTGTGAGTCCAGGAAAACCCCTAGATTATGCAGAGGGTCTGTTTGGAGTAGCGCCACCCCATCCAAGACCAAAGGTGGAAATTCTGCCTGAGCCAACGAACCCAGAGCCACTCGGTCTTGCAAGGGTTTAGTTTCAACCTGTTGCTCTCCATCCAGCCCCTAACAGCCTCCAGGCATTGCGAGAGGGAGGACACAGCAACACTTAATTCAGCAAGGGGCCGAGACATACAGCTGAGTATCATCAGCATATTGGTGATACCTCAGCCCATTGTGACAGATAATCTCACCCAGCGGCTTCATATAAATGGAGCAGAGAGCAGAGAGAGTCCTGGGCCCTGCGGAACCCCACAAAGCAGTGGGCAAGGGCTGGAACTCTCCTTTCCCATCAACACTGACTGAGAGCGGCCGCAAAGGAAGAAAGTGAACTTGGATAGCACAAGGCCTCCCATTCCCATCTCCTGATGCCGCCCAGTAGAATGCCATGGTCAATGGTATCAAAAGCCGCCAAGAGGTCAAGTAGAGCAAGGATGGATGCAGTGCCCCCATCCTGCTCCCTTTTAGTATGTGAAAAACAGAATTTAAAAGAATCATTATGATTCATGATTTTATGTACAGTATATTGTATATAATCACAGTAAGACATTATGTGTGCCTTAACTATCATTTATGAAATAAGTCATGGTCACATGGATTCACAGCAAGCCATTAAATCATTTACAAAGCACCATGGCCGTGTTCATGCAATATGCCAAATACAAATCAAGCAAAGCATGATGTGTGTCCTACAACATATAAACCCTTTTTAAATATAATACACTTGGTTTTTAATGCTGTGTGTTCTGAATGCAGATATAGTAGTTCATAAACCCCTCTTTATGGCTTAGATTGTTGGGCAAAGCCAGTCAATTGTTCTTTATTCAGTAAAGTTTGTTTAAACAATCAGAAGAGGCATTCTCAGGAGAGGGTAAGTAGTGTAAATAAAAAATGTAGTGTGCCATTACTTGATACAGCTCTGAATTTAGGCTTAACTCAATGTGTGAACCCATGTAGTCTAAGGAGCGTCTGAAAAGTAGCTTTGACTCCATCTGTCTGTCTGTCTGTCTGTCTGTCTATCTATCTATCTATCTATCTATCTATCTATCTATCTATCTATCTATCTATCTATCTATCTATCTATCTATCTATCTATC